GCCCGGGACACTTTGTCCAGCTTGCTGAATACTATCTATTTGAAGTTAGCTCAGTATTGATACTTCTGAAGTCTTCTGTCTCATTCTTTGCACAAAGATGGATGAATAAAATTTCCTGAGTTCCCTGCCTCCAACTTGTGGAAGTTACCTATCCAAGAGCCAGAAACAATTGCTATTCTCCTGTGCCCAAATAATTACATATTCCAAGGCAGTGGAGAATCAAATCCAAATCTGGAACTCCATGCCTCCTCATTTAATGACTCTAGTCATGTTCCTTGAGAACCTAATTTCTTCTGATCACTCTCAGCAGGGGTTGGTCCAGCCACACAGCAAGCCACTTGCTAGCATTGGCAAGAACCACTCTTTCTTTTCCAAGAAAAAGTTGCTCAAGGCCCAGCTCAAAGGTCCTTTGTGAAGCACCTGATGCTTTTAGCTCACAGACAAAATTAATCACGACCTTCTGTTCCTGCTTGGGATTCTAATGTATTTATTTTAGAGCTAATATATACAAGGGGGCTTCAAACATTTCCTGGAAATTTGGCATTAAAAGATAATGGACAATTTCCATAAATGTTTTTGAAGCCCCTGAGTTATGTTATGTGTGTGTGAAGGAGTCCTGGTGGTGCAGAGGGTTAAGTGTTGGACTGCAACTGAAAGGTCCGCAGTTCAAACCCACCAGCTTCTCTTTGGGAGAAACTCCATAAGGATTCTCAGCCTCAGAAGCCTTAGAAGGTTCTACTCCGTCCCATACTATCACTAGGACTCAAAACTGACTCAGTGGTAGGGAGTTTGGTTTGGTTGGGGTAATGTGTGTGCTTGTGCATGTGTGCAGGTGTGTGCACATTTCCTACTGTTACTGAATCAATTCCGACTGATGGTCACCCTGTATTGGGAGACTGTAAATCTTCAAAGGAGCAGATAGCTTCATCTGTCTCCCGAGGTGCAGCAGTGGGTTTTAACCATTGACCTTGAGGTTACGAGTCTAAAGCCTGGCTCACAGTGCCACCTGCGCTCCTCACATATGTGTATATGTGAATGTAGATATAGACAAAGGAGCTTTAAAATTGTGTGGAAAAACTAAATTAGAAGACAATGCAATCAAACGCTTGAAGATGCTTGTATATATTCTTAGTTCTTCTATAGGCCCATCCCCTGTACAGAGTGGTTGTTTTCTTGTTAGTTGTTGAGCTCAAGAGTCCACAGTGTAGACCAGGGGTCCTCAAACTACGGCCCGCGGGCCACATGCGGCCCACCGAGGACATTTATCCTGCC